CCATGTCTGCGATCGCCTGAGTCTTGGAGACCCCCCGCGCCACTTTGGGGCCTCTCTGGGCCGTCCTGGGGCCCTCTTGGCCGTCCAGGGGGTCTCTCGCGGCCGTCGTGGGGCAGCCGTTCGGGCAATCCCGCTCGCCCGGTGGCTCTCCAAGGCCGTCTTGGGTCCACCTGGAGGCCCTCTTTGGCCAACCTGGGGCTCGTTTGGGACCGCCCTGGGCCGTCCAGGGGCTCTCTTGGGCTGTCGCGAGGCTGCCTTTGAAGATTCCTGGGGCATGCCAAGGCCGCCTGGCCCTCTCGGGGCCATCGTGGAGGCCCCTCGGGCCGCCTTATGCTGAAGGAAAGCCGAAAATATGAATGCGCGAAAACGTTTCCAACTAATTTGGCATCACACGAACTTTGGATCTTCGGGCCCTGCTTGGGTCCTCTGGTGGCCCTCGCGGGCAGTCTTTGGGGCCTCCTTCTTTATATGATTCGCAAGCACAGAATGGTACCCTCTCACGCTGCAGACGATAAACGCCTCGCTCAGACGGTTCAGGGCGGCGTCAAGGTCGGCGCGGTGGCAGGAAGCGTCAAGCACCCGCTGTGACCCGCTGGCCACACGCACCCTGCCGTTGAAGCACAGTCGCTCTTGCCCAACGTGGTGCAGTCGATTCCGAGCTTGGTCTTGTCCTTCGCCTCCAAAGCGCGGCAACCGAGGGCCAGCAGCGCGAAGAGGGCACCGCGGAGGAACGGCATCGGAAGACGTCAAGAAGTGCGGGTCCAAGATATGAAACGTGTCACGCTTCGAATCGCTCGATGCGAAATTGGACTTGAGCCAGAATGCCTCTGGACGCGGCCTGCCTGAGGGGGCCTGTTGGGCCGTCCTGAGGCCACCTTGAATCGTCTTGGGGTCCTGCCTGCAAGCGCAGCACCGTAAGCGCGATGCAGCGGAGTGTACTGCCGCGTTGCTGCCAAGTGTAAAACGTGGTCGCTCCAGTCGAAGCTGGGGAGCGCGGCAAGTCTGGAACGAACAACGCGTACGTCACAACTGTTTTGCAGAGAACTCACTAGATACGTAAAGCCATTCGATACACACACGTACATACATATACACAGCCATATATATATATATATATATACGCACACGTGCATGCATATGCGCATGCATACATTCATATCTATATACATATATAACACCACAATATCGATATAGGTGTAATCTATAGACTAGAACCATCGCGCTCGCTTCGCGCGCGCTCAAGTTCTAGCCCAGGCTGGGGGGGGGCACTGGAAGATCTTGGACAGAACTATCAAGCACAGGCGCGTGACATAGTCGTGTCTCCTGAGGGCGCAGACCCAAGAGGGGTCTGCGTGGGGGCACCTGAAGGGCTTCTGGGGGTTTCTCCGCGCTTCCTCAATTTGTTGTGGGGGGCACCTCTTGTGTGTTCCTTGGGGTGGCGTCTTGGGGCTTCTTAGGGTCCCTTGGGAGCACCGTCGACATTCTCCAGGCAGTCGGAAGGCGATCTTCTGCAACCTGAAGCCGTCATTGGGCCGTACTGGCTGCGTGGAGGCCCGCAATGAAGGCGCCTCGGGCTACACTGAGGCAATCCGGAAGCCTCCTGGGGGCCTCCTGCAGACAATTCTGATAAATCGAAGGCGCTGTTGGGCAATCTTGGGGCCCCTTGTACGTCTCCTTGGGGCCGGGCCTTTTGGGGCCACTTGGGGGGCTTATGGGGGCCACGTTGGACCACTTGGAGACTCTTGGGGCATTCTCTGGGCCTCTCAGGGCGGAAGACTCTGCTGTTGGGGGCGCATTCCCATTCTTGGGCCTCTCTTGGGACCGTCTTGGGGCCTCGTGGGCAGTCTTGGGGGCCTATTGGAAGCCTCTTCGGCTATCGTGGAACGGTTTTGGGGGCCTCTTGGGCCGTCTTGGAGCGTCGGGAGCCAAACGGCGGAAACGCTTAAATGCACCAACAACCAGACGAAAATCTGTGATTTGGGTTTCTCGGGGCCCTTTTGGGAGTGCGGGCCATCCGGAGGCCTCCTTGGGCACGTTAAAACGATACTTCTGCGATAGTAGGCCTCCTGGAGGCTTCTCGCATAGCATCCTCCTGAAGGCCTCTCGAGGCCCATTTCATCTGTGTTGGGGCTGTTTTGGGCGGTCTGGACGCGTCCCTGGCGCCCCGACACCCCCATGGCGCGGCGCCCCCCCCCGCCTCGGTCCATATATATATATATATATATATACATACATATACATACCTATACGATCGCCCTGCGGAAAAATAAGAAAGCTTGGGGAAATTTAAATCAAATCCCCACCCTGACTGGCCTCACTGGCCTCCAGCCTGTCACCTTGATATCATCCCTCCCTTTGTCTCCCTCTTTCTTTCTTTCTTTGTCTCTCTCTCTCTCTCTCCCTGCTTTTTTTTTTGTTTCTCTCTCTCTATCTATATATATATATATATATATCGGTTTCTCTCTCTCTCTCTCTCTCTCTCCCTCCCTCTCTATCAGAGTCTCCTTCCACTGCGACGATGACCGCGATGGCGATGAGATCCCACTATCTACCTATTCGTCGGCCGACCTATTGGTGAATCTCACTGTCGATCTCGCAATCGACCTCAAAAGCAAAATGAGAAAGCCCGCCGCAGGAACCGAAACAAACGATTTGTTGTCGGACAACCACAAGACAACCATGGGCACAACCACCAGACAACCGTCAAGACAATCACAAGACAACCACGAGACAACCATCGCATACTAGATAATCCCTGTCATTATCTCTCTCTCTCTCTCTCCCTCTCTCGCTCGCTCTCGCTCTCGCTCTCGCTCTCGCTCTCGCTCTCGCTCTCGCTCTCGCTCTCGCTCTCGCTCTCTCTCTCTCTCTCTCTCTCTCTCTCTCTTTCTCTATGCAAAAGTCTATATATATATATATATATATCAGTTCCCCCCTCCGCCGCAATGATGGCAGCGTCGACGGGCGACGGGCGCGGCGGCGCTGACGGCAGCGACGGCGGCGGCAACTATGACTCATGCATTTTTTTCGCGCCCAACTTGAGTCGCCGCGGCGGCGGGGAGCGCGACAGACAGCCCCTCAGCGCGTTCGGCGCGTCGCCGCGGTCAGCGGCGACTGCCTCGGCGCGCGTCGGAGGCTCGGCGCCCCGCCAGTCAGTGGCAGAGCCTGGTGCCACTGGCGCCAGATGACCACTTGCACTGGCAGAGCCTGGCGCCACTGGCGGCGTGTCCTGGAGTGCTCCTCCGCGAGCCCAAGTAATGATGATGCCGTTCGCGCCCTTGGGCTTGGAGTCAAACTCGGGGCGGTGCTGGGCGAAGGTTTTCAGCCCGCCCGGCTGGGGCCGCTTCTTGAACTCAGCATGGGCCCGCTCGTCGCGGGGCTGGCGGCCCATCTTTTTATGCGATATTGCAGACTGGTCGAACTCGCCGCCGTGCGCTTGCAGACATGGGCGGACCAAGTCCACCGCGAGCGCGTCTGCGGCCGGCTCGGACGCCTCCGCGCCAGCATCCTGCGAGCGCGCCGGAGCGCGCGCTGGCAGAGCCTGGCGCCCCGTGCCCGCGCCCGGCAGCCCCGCCGCCAGGTCATCTAAGGGGATGTCCCAATGCGCTGGGCGGAAGAGGATCTCCGACGGCGAAGTGCTGACGAGGCCATAGGAACGGCGCGGGGCCAAGCGCCCTCGGATGCCTTATCCTTCGCACTGCCATCTCCATCTGTCACGATTCTGCGGCCGTCTCTGGCGGCGAAGCGGTTGGGCACGTGCAAGGTGAACCACCAATCATCGCCGGCATTGCCTGGTGCGTGTGATTGGTAGTTCTTGCGCGCCTTAATCGAAGGCACGATTGGCCCGCCGCATGCCTTTGGGCGAGTGGATGCGCGATTGTTCAACGCGACGTGCCATGAGATGTCGCGGACGTGATGCTCCAAAAGGTACGCTTCGACAGCCGTGGCGCACCCCTCGGGGCTGCGCAGGCTGGCGGAGCCTGGCCTCTGGAAGTGCGCCCCCGCCTCGGCGCGTCAGCGAGTGGCCTGGCCCGTCGAGCGAGCCGGCCAGCAATTGGAGCCGACGATAAGTGAAGCGGCGCGCGCGGAAGGGGGCGCGCAATGATGGCAAGTGCACCGGGGCGGGCTGCCTTGCGGGGCCCGACCCCCCCTCCGACACAATCTCCTCGATCGGGTCACTCGGGCCATCTGATGGGCCCTCGATGGGGTCGCCGCCCCCCCCCCTCGGCCGGTGCGTCGCATGTCCACGCGCGCGTGCTTCGGCCGCGGGCCCCATGTGCCACGCGACCCTCGAGCGCGCCCCAGCCGGCAGAAGCTGCGCCGGCTGCGCTGGCAGAGCCTGGCCCCTGGAAGGCCCCGGGTCTGCCTGCGTGGGCGGCGCGACCGACGCGGGCGGGCCCAACTGGCGCATTCTCGCGGAGGCGCCATTGCCTGCAGGAGCACGGGCCGGCGGAAGCACGAGTAGCAGGCGTGAGGCATCGGCGCGACAATGCGACTGCACTAATAAAACCATGAAAGAATATAGAAGGGGTCGAGTCGTTGGTTGCTGGTGGAAGATGGCGCTGATGGAACGACAGACGCATGGAAAATCATAATCCCCGCGCAGGTGGAAGAGCAGCGGCGGGCACGAGGACGAGCAGCAGCAGCAGCAGCGCGCAACAGCGGCCGGGAGGCAAGCAGCACCCACCACATGCCTCCTTTTTACCAAAGCGCCCCGCTCACCCAAACTAGAGCGCGCGGTGGTCAGCGGGCCCGCTCGCGCGCGCGCTGGCGGGTCTGGTGCTGGCAGAGCCTGCCGCCGTGGCTCTCTCGTTCTGCCTACTCGGCCCGCTCATCAAAACTAGAGCGCGCAGTGGTCAGCGGGCCCACTCACGCGCGCGCGCTGGCGGGGCTGGCGCTGGCAGAGTCAGGCGCCGCGACTCTCTCCTTAGGATTGCCGCGCGAGGTCGGCCATCGCCTGCGCGGACGCGATCGGGGGAAGCGGCCCCGATCTCATGCGCCTGACTTTCCGCGAGCGCCCCCCCGACCAGTACTCGCTGCCCATGGCCGACATAGAAGTCAGTGCCGCGTCGGAAGCATCGGCCGCCGTCAGAGCGGCTTTCCACTCCGCCGCCAGACTGCGCGTCGGCACCGTGGCCTCGTCCTTGGAAAGCTTGGCGACGTGCTCCATGGTGAAAGTGGGGCACGGGCCCTGACCGCTGCTGGCCGCAGCAAGCCCCGCCGCGTCCGCGGCGCCGGCAGAGCCCCGCGCGGGGGGGTCGACGGCGGACGCGACGACGAGAGCGGCCTCTTTGTCCAAGCGGCACGCCAGCATCTTTCCGAAATCGCAGTGCCCCACCAGCTGGCCGACACGGACTCCACCTTGAAGTGCTGCTCCGATAGCTCCTTGCCGCCTTCGATCGGGTCCATCGTCGCCATGACATGCCGCGCGCCAGCAGCAGCCCTTGGTTCGCACCGATCACCTGCGCGCTGGCAGCGCCTAGCGCCTGATCGCGGTGCACCGCCGTGCCGACCGGGCGGTCTTCGATCACGCGCGCGGCGGGCGCCTGCATCGCGACGTCGCCGGTCGCCGCGTAGAGGCCGCAGCGCGCGCGCATCGCCGAAGCGGACGCCACCGCGTCCAGCGGTGTCTTGGCGACCATCACCACGCGCCGCTCGGTCGTGCCGCCCTCCTCGCGAAGGGCGCCGCGGACGTTGAGGCGCTCCTTGGCGCTCGTCAAAGACTTGGTGCGGATGTGCTCGGCGATTCCGCCCGCTGTCTCGCGCCCGTAGAGAGCGGGGACTGCGCCGGCGATCGCGTCGACGTCGACGCCGCCGGCGGCGTCTCGCAGACGGCGTCTCGCAGACGAGCTGGGCGATCGCCCTGACACGCTCATCCTCCGTCCGCAATTGGTCACCGACCTTGCCCACTGTGATCGAAAGGAAATCCGACAGCAGGGCGTCGTACGACAAGCGGGTGGAAACCTCTCTCAATTCACGCACAACAGAACTTGCGCGCGCCCGAACCGTGAAGTCGCGCGGGTCGGTGCCGCTGACGGGGCCCACGATCCGCTTGGCGCCCATGTCTGGTTGCCTGGCAGAGCCTGGGACACCGGGCTCCCTGGTGTAGTCCAGGATGTCCTGGCGCACAGGGGCGATAGTGGCCAGCAGGCGCAGGTCCCCGCCGCGGCGGGCACTGAACGGAAGCGCACCTGCTCGCACTCCCGCCCCTTCATGGCCATCATGTCGGCCCGATGCGTGTCCGGCGGCGGCGCCTCGCCTGGCGTCAGCTGCAGATGCGACGGCAGGGTGTCCCAGCGGCCATCGCCCGCCGCGATCGCGTTCCGCGCCTCCTCCTGCGCCGCCCCCATGTACCCCGCGGCCAGCGCGCTGACCAACTCGGGGCCCATGTCCATCGCGCGTAGCGTGTAGTCTGGGACAAAATCCGCTTCCTGGCCCTCCTGCGCGAGACGCGAGCTGGCGGAGCCTGGCCCCGGCCCCTCGCTCATCGCCTCGCTCGGATTCGGGCCCGCTGCCTTCAGAGAGGACGCCGCCTCCGAGGTCGGCGCAGCTGCCTTCGGGGCGGGCGAAACCGCAACCGGCGAAGGCGCCTCGGCAGGACTTGGGGCCGCCGCCCCCGGAGCGAGCGCCGCCGCAGGGGTCGGCGGCGCCGCCGTCGGAGCGAGCGGAACCGCAGCCGCGGGCGGCGCGGAGGGCCGGCTCAACTGATGCGCGGAGGCGGCCGCCCCTGCGGCCGTTGGAACGACGGGCGCCCGCGGCGCAAAGCTGGCAGGGCCTGGCCCGCGCAGCGGGCTGGCGCGCCAGGGGCGGGGGGCCCGCTGGAGCTAGCAGGGGCGCCGCCGGAGCTGGCAGAGCCTGACACCTCGCCGGCGTCGGCGCCCCGCTCCAGCGCCAAGAGGAGGTCCTCGGGCCCGCCCTGGCCCGCCCGGGCCGCCGCGCGGCGGCAGTGGCCCCTGACGTGCTCCGGCAAGAGCTCCTTGCCCCTGCGGACTTCGAGCAGAATGCGCCACGCCTGGGCAACCAGGTGCTGGGGGGTTCGCGAAGCAGGCCGTCGCAGTGAACGCCCGCCCCTCCGCCTCCTTCATGCGCTTGTTGCGCGTCAGCTCGAACGCGCGCGGCGCGCTGGCGGCGCCGCGCGCGTGCGCGAGCACGTTCCTCTCCATGTAGTGGTCGCCCGCGCTGCCCATGTCCGACTTGCGGCTCTGCCATTTCACCTGCGAGAGTATTCCAAAGAACCGCCGTGACATGGAGCTGGCAGCGCCTGGCTCCGAGCGCAGCGGACTGGCGGCGCCTGGCCCTTGCGCGCCCATGGGCGAACCGGCTCGCCCAGGAATGCCGCCGCCCGCGCCCCCTTCCGCCGCCCCCCCCTTCTCCCCGCGAATTCAGCCGCCCCCCCCCCCTGCCCCGAGCAGCCAAGTACGGGGCGGGGGGGGGGGGGGAGGGGGGGGCAACGCCTGGGCAACGCCGGGCACGTTTGCGAGCGCGTCGTAGAACTCCTGGCCCGTCGGGGCGCGCCCAGGAGCCAACTCGACGAAGCCTGCCAAAGAGTGCGGTGAGTATTCGAACCGCTGCGCTTCCCTGCGCGACCCTGGGCTGCCTCGCCAGTCAGGGCCCGCGGAGCCTGGCCCGCGCCGCCGCCCCCGAGGCCGGCCGCGCCTGGCCCCGGGGGCGCCGCGCGGAGACTGCGCGCCGCGGGAGACGCCATGGCAGGCGAACGGAGGGACGCCTTGGGGCGGCTTCCGAAAGGCAAGGGCGCCGAACGCTCGAGCCCCGCAATCTGCCGCGATCGTGCCCAGGCGACGACAAAAATGAATTTATGGATTGGGTCTGGTGGATTGGATTGGATGGGATAAGATGGATCGGATCAGATAAGACGGGTTGGATTGGACCATATGGATTAAGATATGATGGATTGGGTCTGCCCGCCGCAGGCGCAGAAACATATGAATTGATTGGTTGGGTTGGACTCGGTGAGTTAAGAAAAGATGGGGCAGTATGGGTTGGATAAGATAAGATGGATTAGATAGGACAGTATGGATTGGATAAGATAAGCTGGATTGGGTAAGAAAGCCCGCCGCAGGCGCCGACAAAAATGAATTGATGAATTGGGTTCGGTGGATTGGATTGGATGGGATAAGATGGATATGATCAGATAACATTGGTTGGATTGGACCATATGGATTGGATAAGATATGATGGGTTTGATTGGCCTGCCGCAGGCGCAGAATCAAATGAATTGATTGATTGGGTTGTGTGCGTTGGATTGGGTGGGATAGGATATGATGGGACAAGATGGGTTGGATAAGATAAGATGGATTGGATTGGACAAGATGGATTGGATAAGATAAGCTGGCTTGGATGAGAAAGCCCGCCGCAAGCGCCGACAAAAGCGAATATGGAAATTAACGACATGCGTTAGCGCCGGGACGCCCGGGACACCGCCCGGCCCAACTGGGACACCTCCGGGCCACCGGAGGACGGGAAACGGACTTTCGCTCCCACTGACACCCTGGACACGCGGGACACCGCCCGGCCCCATTGGGACACCTCCCAGCAACTAGCGGATGGGAACGAACTGTCGTTCCTACTTCGGCCTAGCTACAGGAGGATCACGCGCAGCTTCGCCTCGCCCGCACGCACGACACGAACACGAAACCGAAACCGATTTCCCGGTGGGGGGTCTCCGTTTCACTGCGATCTCACCCCCCAGCCTCCGACATATATCTATATACATATGTATATATAATGTACATCTATAAATATACATACAGACATCTATATATATATATATATGAAAGTGATATTTATATACACGTATACATATACATATGTCTTGGAAAAAATGTAACAGGGGCCTCTTGGGGCCTCTATGGGGGTTCCTAAGGGCCTCATGGAGCCTCTCGGAGGCATCTCGGGAGACATCTTTCAGTTCCCGTTCCCTCTCTTGGGCCCCTCTTGGGGCCTTCTTGGGACCCGCTTGCGCTGTCTTGGGCGGCTCTGGGGCCGTCTCGGGGTTCTCTTGGGCCGTCTTGGGGCTCTTGGGGCCCTTATGGGCCGTCTTGGAACAATTTTGGGCGCCTCTTGGGCGGTGCCTTTGCGCCGGAAACACGAAACAGAGAGAATGCAACAAAAACATTCACAAAAACAAAAACAAATGAAAATCAATGATTTTGCCCTCTCGGGGCGCTCTTGGGCGGCATCTTAAAGGCCTCTTCGGGCGTCTCGGGGGCCTCCAGGGCAGTTTAAACGCGTCGTGCGTCGCCAGAGACCCCTGGACGGCGTCTTTGGGGTGCCTCGAAACTGTCTGGTGGGGCCGCCGGGATTGCTGCCTGAGGGCTCCCCGGGGCGATTTTAAGCCTCCCAGAAGCGGGCCCGGGCCCCGGTACCCACATTTGTGGTCGAGGTTCTGGCCATCGGCCCCCGAGCCGGGTGCGCCCGTATATGTATATGTAGATAGGTAGATGTACATGTACGTACCCATGTATAAATAAATTTATACATGTACATCTATACTTATATATATATATATATATATAAAAATGTATGTATATATCTACGGATGTATGGATGCATGGATGCACGGATGTATGTATGTATACATATCTAAAATTATGTTTAAGGGAGCGCGTTTCACGGGCGCTTGCCATGGGACCATTCGGCGGCGCGTTTGAACCAGGGGGGGGGGAAAGCCCCCGAACATTCGGCGCCGTCGAAGAGAACCAGGGGGACTCCCCTCCCCCCTCCCCCTCCTCCCTCCCCCCCTCGGGCGCTGGCGCCGGCGCTGGCGTCGTCGCCTTCGTCGCCGTCGTCGTCGTCGTAGGCATGGTCGCCGTCGTCGCCGACGCCGTCGTTGTCGTCGTCGGCGTCGTCGTCCTCGCGCTTGTCGTCGTCGTCACCGTGGTCGTAGTCGACGTCGCCGCCGTCGTCGTCGTCGTCGCCGCCGTCGCCGTCGTCCTCTTCGTCGTGACCGTCGTCGACGCCGTCGCCGTCTTCGTCGGCGTCGTCGCCGTCGTCGTCGTCGTCGCCGTCGACTTCGTCGTCGGCGTCATCGTCGTCGTCGCCGTCGTTGTTCGTCGTCGCCGTCGTCGTCGTCGTTGGCATGCTCGCCGCCGCCGTTGTCGTCGTCGTTGCCGTCGTCGTGCTCGACATCGTCGTCGCCGATGCCGTCGTTGCCGTCGTCGTCGTCGCCATCGTCGGCGCCGTCGTCGTCGTCGCCGTGCTAGTCGTCGTCGCCGTCGTCGTGGCCGTTGTCGTCGTCGCCGTCCTCGCCGTCGTCGTCGTCGTCGCCGTCGTCGTCGTCGACGTCGTCGTCGTCGTCGTCGTCCTCGTGTTCGTCGTCGTCGACGTGGCCGTCGTCGTCGTCGTCGCCGTCGCTGACGCCGTCGTTGCCGTTGTCGTCGTCGCCGCCGTCATCATCGCCGTCGTCGTCGTTGACATCGCCATCGTCGTCGTCGTGCTCGTCGTCTCGTCGCCGTCGTGTTCGTCGTCGAAGTCGCGGTCCTCATCGAAATCGTCGTCGCTGTCGTTGCCGTCGTCAACGTCGTGGCCGTGGCCGTCGCCATCGCCGTCGTCGTCGTCGTCCTCGTGTTCGTCGTCGTCGACGTGGTCGTCGTCGTCGTCGTCGTCGCCGTCGCTGACGCCGTCGTTGCCGTTGTCGTCGTCGCCGCCTTCATCGCCGTCGTCGTCGTTGCCGTCGTCGTGCTCGTCATCGTCGTCGCCGATGCCGTCGTTGCCGTCGTCGTCGTCGCCATCGTCGGCGCCGTCGTCGTCGTCGCCGTGCTAGTCGTCGTCGCCGTCGTCGTGGCCGTTGTCGTCGTCGCCGTCCTCGCCGTCGTCGTCGTAGTCGCCGTCGTCGTCGTCGACGTCGTCGTCGTCGTCGTCCTCGTGTTCGTCGTCGTCGACGTGGCCGTCGTCGTCGTCGTCGCCGTCGCTGACGCCGTCGTTGCCGTTGTCGTCGTCGCCGCCGTCATCATCGCCGTCGTCGTCGTTGACATCGCCATCGTCGTCGTCGTGCTCGTCGTCTCGTCACCGTCGTGTTCGTCGTCGAAGTCGCGGTCCTCATCGAAATCGTCGTCGCTGTCGTTGCCGTCGTCAACGTCGTGGCCGTGGCCGTCGCCATCGCCGTCGTCGTCGTCGTCGCCGTCGTCGCCGTTGTCGTCGTCATCATCGCCGTCGTCGTCGTCGACGTCGTCGTCGCCGTCGTCGTTGTCGTCGTCGTCGTCGTCGCCGTCGTCGCCGCCGCCGTCGCCGACGCCGTCGTTGCCGTCATCGTCGTCGTCGTCGTCGACGTGGCCGTCGTCGTCGTCGTCGCCGTCGCTGACGCCGTCGTTGCCGTTGTCGTCGTCGCCGCCAACATCATCGCCGTCGTCGTCGTTGACATCGCCATCGTCGTCGTCGTGCTCGTCGTCTCGTCACCGTCGTGTTCGTCGTCGAAGTCGCGGTCCTCATCGAAATCGTCGTCGCCGTCGTTGCCGTCGTCAACGTCGTGGCCGTGGCCGTCGCCATCGCCGTCGTCGTGCTCGTCGCCGTCGTCGCCGTTGTCGTCATCATCGCCGTCGTCGTCGTCGACGTCGTCGTCGCCGTCGTCGTTGTCGTCGTCGTCGTCGTCGCCGTCGTCGCCGCCGCCGTCGCCGACGCCGTCGTTGCCGTCATCGTCGTCGTCGTCGTCGCCGTCATCATCGCCGTCGTTGTTGACATCGTCATCGTCGTCGTCGTGCTCGTCGTCTCGTCGCAGTCGTGTTCGTCGTCAAAGTCGCGGTCGTCGCCGTTGTCATTGTCGTCATCGCCGTCGTCGTCGCCGTCGTCGTCGTCGTCGTGATCGTCGTCGTCGTCGTCGCCGCCGTTGCAGTCGTCACCGCCGTCGCCGATGCCGTCGTTGCCGTCGTCGTCGTCGCCGTCATCATCGCCATCGTCGTCGTTGACATCGTCATCTTCGTCGTCGTGCTCGTCGTCTCGTCGCAGTCGTGTTCGTCGTCAAAGTGGCGGTCGTCGCCGTTGTCGTCGTCGTCATCGCCGTCGTTTCGCCGTCGTGGTCGTCGTCGTCGTCGTGATCGTCGTCGTCATCGCCGCCGCCGTCGTCGTCGTCGTCGTCGTCGTCGTCCTCGTCGTCGTCGTGTTCGCCGTCGTCGTCGTCGCCGTCGCCAACGTCGTCGTCGCCGTCGCCAACGCCGTGGTTGTCGTCGTCGTCGTCGTCGTCGTCGCCGTCATCGTCACCGTCGCCGTCGTCGACATCGTCATCGTCGTCTCGTCGCCGTCGTGCTCGTCGTCGTCGTCGTCGCCGTCGTGCTCTTCGTCGTCGTGGTCGCGGTCGCAGATGTCATCGTCGTCGCTGTCGTTGCGGTCGCTGTCGTCGTGGCCGTCGTCGTCGTCATCGTCGTCGCCGTCGTCGCCGTCGTCGTCGTCGGCGTCGTCCCCGTCGCCTTCGCCGTCGCCGTCGTCGCCACCGTCGTCGCCGTCGTCGCAAGTGTCGTTGTCGTCGCAGTCGCCGTCGCCGGCATCGTCGTCGCCGTCGTCGCCGTCGTCGCCATCGTCGTCATCGTCGTCGTCGCCACCGCCGTCGCCGTCGTCCTCGTCGGCTGGATTTGCGGGTCACTTTTTGTACACATCAATTTTACGTCGCCAACGCCGTGGGTTTCCTGCGCAGTGTGGGAGGTGAACCGGCCCAACAAACATGCAGCTAAAAACACGCACTGCTCGACAAACACACTGTGGCCAAATAGTATTATCGCGTACTTCAAAGGCAAAGAGCCACATGACGCTTCTGGTGTCAGACTGGATGAGCTACCTCAGCTGGAAAGATCTGATTTAATTCACGGGCCCCGGATGGATCTCACACAGCCTGGTAGTATTGTGATGACACGATTGCGAGAACATCCCACATGGAATGGATGAGCGGCAACAATCTCGATCTGGCTGCTAGACGACTGCATGCGAGTGAAATGGGAGGACGAGCCATACGACCAAAACGCAGAACTGCGGGAACGAAGCGATGGCCTATTCTTATGTTGTCGTACACCTTCTCTGCGCACATGGAGAACGCCTCCACTTTTCCGACCAGGGTGGACCACGACCGTATGGGGATCACGCTTCATGAGGGGACCACCCTCCTGCTATTCCCATATCTTCCCCTCGTCTTCCTGATAATCACCTTCGCCCTTCCCCGACCTCCTGCACATTACCTCCCGTACTGACTGCTCTTGAAATGAAAAAAACTGGCCGTAGGGCAGAACGGGAGGGGAAGAATGCTCGGACGACTGCCGAACTGACACCCGTCATTGTCGTCACCGTTGTCGCCCTCGAATTGCTGTCGTTCGCGGCCATCGCTGCCGTTGTCGTCGCCAACACCGTCGTCGTCGTCGTCCTCCTCCTCCCGCTTAATGGAGCGATAGTTCGCCATTTGCGCTGGAAGCCGCCCCATCGGACGAAAGAAGACAGGGCTCCTCCTCGCAGCCACCCACGCAAAAACTGGGAGCAAATTTGTGGAATGCTCGTGCTACGAGGGTGGCAAATACACTGGCTACCCGCATTACCTTGCCAATTCCGTCCCCACATAATTTCCTATTCGTGGAGGCTGCCATGCCGGAACACAATCGCCAAAGCATCTGCGATGGTTGGTGAGTTTGTGTGTGCGCGTGTGTCGTGCCGCTCCTTTTTCGTAAGAACTCCGCTTCGCGCGAAGCATCGAGTCCAACATGCGCCCTGTTGCTAGACAAGGTCCTTACTACGTTTCGCCTTAGGAGGCCCTGGGAACGACAAGGCAATGTGTTTTTCCTTGGTGCGGCGCTCCGTTTTGTCTTCGGAGTCCGTCGCCGTTCTGCTTCCAGTTCCAGGGTTCCGCTTCTGGAGCTGTTTTGTGCTCCGCTTAGGCGAGCCACTTTTCCCAGGCAGCGCCTCCACTGAGTTCATTTGGACTCTCTTCCATGAAGGGGAACTGGGACACACAAATGAATACACACAAATAACCAGATTCCCCATATTTTCTGGGTTTTCGTCTTCCCCCCCACTTCCCATATTTTCCAATATTTTTCTGGGGATCGACGATTCATTGTGTCTGTGTGTTTTTTCCCCTCCTGATCTCTTCCAGGGCAACTGGGCCCCGATGCCGATCTGGTTGCCTCGTGGCCGCCCGTCGCCGCCGGTCGCCGCCGTCCGCCCCCGCCACTTCCGCAGCGTTCCGTTGCATCGCATTGCATCGCATTGCATTGCGTTGCGCTGATGTGCGCCGCTACGCGTCGCTTTGCATTTGTGCTGCTTTGCTGCGCACAGCTGTGCGCTGTTCTGCCGAGTTTTGCTGCGTATTGCTGCGCATTGTTTGTGATTGCTTCGCGTTGCTCACCAATGTTGTGTAATGTGTTGAATTGCTTTGCGCTGGCTTGCGTTGCTTTGCGTTGCTTTGCGCTGATGCGCATTGCGATGCATTGCTTCGCGCTGCGTTGCATTGCTTTGCATAAAACTTGTTTGCGCTGCATTGCTGTGAATTGCGTTGGTATGCATCGCTTTGCGGTGCGTTGTTTTGCATTTCGCGCGTCGCTTTGCGTTGCACGGTTTCCGCCACAAAAACTGTACCACATGGACTGCACCACCTAGATTGCACAACGTTGAGTGCACATTGTGTTGGGTCACGCTGGGGAGCAATTATTTGAAAATGCTCGCTTTCACGAGCCAAATTTTCTGAAGCCGGTAAGAGTGTTCTGCCGCTTCCCCAGCACACAAAGGTTGTTCTCCCTGACACAGTAACCCGAAAATGTTGGCCAGCGTGGACCTTCACAACTGTACGTGTGTGTCCAAGAATATTCGTGAAACAACCGCTGTGGAGCAATCGGTCTACGTTGCGCAATAGATGTGACGCAACTTGTGAAATCCATTGAGCGTTGTGCAATATTTGCTGTGCAGTCTATGTCGGGCGCTCTAGGTGGTGCAACTTGCGTTGTGAAAATATAATTCAATATATGTATATATATATATATGTATATACGCATTTGCACATTTACCTATACATATGTATATAGGATGCGCAAGTGACGTGCTGCCGTCTACGTGAAGCAATACATGTAATGCAACACATGTTGTACAATACGCCGTGGTACAATCGAGGTGGTGCACTTCACGTGTTGCAATCTGAGGCGTGCGAAATATACGTGGTGCAACCGATGTTGCGCATTCAACATCGTGCAATAAATGTTGAATTGTGTAAGTGGTGCTGTACGTGGCGCTATTACGCTCGCAGTGAACAATCAATCCCACTACTGCTTGGCGTTGGCTGGCGCATCCCTGCGGCCGTGCTAGCTCGCGCATGCTCGCGCGCGAAACGGCCAGCTGGTCCGGAGCGACCGACGCGGCCGCGGCGGCCCTGCCGCTGGGCACTTGCCCGCGGGCGCCTCAGTACGAGTCGGCAATTTGGGCGAGCGCGGTATCATGGCAACGTCGACAACGGTAGACACGATCATCGTCGTAGCGATGCTGGTGGCGATGGTGAGTGACAACGACGACGGCAACGCCAGTGACGGCGTTAATGCTGATCACGCAGACGATGATGACGGCGTCCTCGCGTTGGCGATGCAGGTTGTTGTTGGCCCATCGAGCTCTCTGGGGCTCGGAGCAGTCCGATTTCCTTGTGGGCTGTCACATATTTGTGCGAGGGCGCGCTCGCAGGCCTCCTCCTCCTCGTCCTCCGCATCCTCGTCCTCCTCCTCCTTCTCCTCCTCTTTCCCCCCCTTCCTTGCGCCCAGGGTCGGCGGCACCGGCCGCAAATCTTTCCCAATAAACTGGCCACTGCGGGGTCATCGGCTGGTCACCGCGCCGTGGTCGGCGCGATGGTCGCACAGGAATTGTTCGAAGAAGTTGCGGCGCACCACAGTCACCGGAGTATCCATCGCCACGTAGCAGCCCACGAGAAAAAGCAACCTCTTCGTACCACCGTGCCTGCGTACGAATGCACCGTTGTGAATGTGTGCGCCGCCCGCATGTGCGTCACAGGCCCAGTGTACACCACAAAACCCGCGTACACCACGACTCACCACGACATCACCAGAACTCAAGAAGGCATACCAGAAGGCAAGACATCACCACGACTGTGTGCATCAGAACTGCCGCCGCAGCCGGCGCGTGCGCTATGCGCGCCGATCTGTTTGTCAATTTCAATGTGAGTGCGCCGCCGCGCCTGTGTGGGGGCCACAACAGCCTGCGCGCGGCAAGCGCCTGCACATACCACATGCACATGCCTGCGCACACTGCAAACGCGTCGCGCGCACTACAAACAGCATACCTCTGAGTTGAGCAACAGGCATTGCTGCAACGGGGGTGGGTGGGGCGGCGGGCGTTATCTTACCTGCTGGGTGGGTGGGTGGGTTGGAGTCCACATGACGCGTGCTATGCGTTCGAGTAAAATACAGTCGGACCTAGGCCAGAAGAACATCCCTAAAGAACGCAAGACCCTCCGTCGGCCAAAACATACAGAACTCTCCCCAGGATGCACAAGAGCATCCAACCAATCACGAAGAATACGAGGGTATCCTCCCCGACCCGACCTCGATCTTACACCTCGGTGCGACGGTACTTGAGTCCCTTACGTCGGAGCATCGCCGCGCGAACGTTGTCCCATATATTACGAAGCGGACTTCAGGACTAGATGATACACTTTTTGCGCGCCGCGGGAGGTATTCTGAGTTTTCCACACAAGGAGCCTATAGCATACGCACGTACACGCCATGCCGAGTTCATGAATACGGGGCCAAGTCCGCGAGGCCAACCTCCTGCTACGAACGCTCGCGCAGCAGTGTACACCCTCGAAACCCATGCGAATTGATTTACAGGCACGCGTGTTTACAACACAGCGTCTCCCACGAGCTGTCTAGGTTCTAGTACTTGTACAATGAAAACCAACGAAGAGTCCGACAGGAGGGATGGGAAGCCCTGGGCCGCCTGGTCTGGCAGCCGCTTCGCCCGAGACGTCCTAACAACCTATACGGGAGCCGTGCTCCCGCCGCAGCGCCGACTGCACTGTTGTTGCCCGGGCAGCCACGATCCCTCTCCAAAGAATGCACCACGGTGCACGCGGCCGTGCTCTCACCCCGAAGCCCTGCGATTTACGGGACACGCAATTTTCCTCAAAAAAACCAACTCAATGAACCACAGTTGCGTTTCCCATTGTTCTTAATCATGGCAAACGCCATCCCGGACGACTGCCCTCTCGCCCTGGTCCCCCACAGGTCGACCTCCGCCTCCCCGAGCCGCCTCTTCACGCTTGACGCCACCGTGCCTTCGGGCACGGAGTGGGCGTGTCCTAGAAAGTTCCCTGCTGTAGGCCTCAGCCCTCTGGAGTAATGATTACAGTAGGAACCCGACCACAAGAAACCCTCCACGATAAGCCCGACCCTGAAAGCCCAGGAAGTCCCTTGATGTTTTGCGTGGGGACGTCGCGCTTTCCATCGCAAAACCATCGAAAACCATCGAAACCATCGAAACCCTGGAGGTAAGCAGGGCGTTTCTTGGCATGGGTCCCCACTGTAGTCGACCTCCAACTGAATCGAGCCGCCTCTTCACATTTGCCGCCACCGTGCCTTCGGGCACGGAGTGGGCGTGCCCTAAAAAGTTCCTTGCTGTAGTCCTCAGTCCTCTTGTAATGATTACAGTAGGAACCCGACCACAAGTCCACGATGACCCTGGCCCAGGAAGTCCCACGTGGGGAATCGCAAAACCATCGTCCACAAGTAAAACCCGACCTCCAACTGAATCGAGCCGCCTCTTCACATTTGCCGCCACACGGAGTGAGTTCCTTGCTGTAGTCCTCAGTCCTCTTGAATAACTAAGGATTACAGTTTTGACCCTTTGAGGACGTCGCGCTGTCCATCGCAAAACCAGGAAACCCTGGAGGTAAGCAGGGCGTTTCTTGGCATGGGTCCCCACTGTAGTCAACCTCCAACTCAATCGAGCCGCCTCTTCACATTTGCCGCAACCGCGCCTTCGGGCACGGAGTAGGCGTGCCCTAAAAGGTTCCTTGCTGTAGTCCGCAGTCCTCTGGAGTGAGGATTACAGTGGAGGCCAGTCCACAAAAAGCCCTCCACGAGAAGCCCAACCCTGAGACCCCGGGACGTCCCGTGACTGTGGGCGTGGGTACGTCGCGCCGTCCATCGCAAAACCATCGAAACCCAGGGCACCCAGGGCACCGGGGCGCTTCTTGGCATGGGTCTCCACTGCAGTCTGTAATCCTGAGTCCTCTGGACTAAGGAGGAGGAGGAGGAGGAGGAGGAGGAGAGAGGAGGAGGAGGAGGAGGAGGAGGAGGAGGAGGAGGAGGAGAGAGGAGGAGGAGGAGGAGGAGGAGGAGGAGGAGGAGGAGGAGGAGGAGGCCCTCACATCTCCCGCTTTCCAGGGCGGCCTGTCGCAGGACTCTCCTTCGGGCCCCGAGGAGGGCCCCCCGGACCAGCCGAGAGGGCCCCTGGAGGCCCCCAAGACGGTCCGAGAGGGCCCCGAGTCGCCGCAAGATCGGCCCAAGTCGCCGAAGATGGCCGACGCCCAAAGAGGCCTCCAAGACGCCCGAAGAGGCCTCCAAGAGGCCTCCCAAGAGGACCCCGAGAGGCAACAGTCATTACGGTTCCTCCGGTGTTTGAAGAATGTGCAAACCTTGCCCCAAGACGGCCCAAGAGGCCTCCATGAGGGCCCCAGAACGGTCCTCTTGGGCACCAAGACGGCCCAAGAGGCGCACCCGAACGAACGTTTCGAGCTCTCGGCCCCGAGAGGCCCACAGGAAGAGATAAGAGACCCCCAAGAAACCGCCAAGAGGCCTCAAGAGGCCCCCAGGAGCCCAAGAGGCCCCGAAGAGGCTCCCAAGAGGCCCCTAAGAGGACCCCAGGAGGCATCAAAACTGCCCCAAAGAGGCTCCCGAGAGCGCTCCGAAGGGACCCCAATAAGCATTCCTGAGATCCCTGACCCACTGGCAATTTTCCCGACTGGATCGGTACAGTTTTTTTTGGGGGGGGGATAGAGAGAGAGAGAGAGCGAAAAAGAGAAAAAGAGAAAGAGAGGGAGAGAGAGAGAGAGAGAGAGAGAGATGAAAGGTGCGGACCCCGCTCAGCCATACGTTCAACCTGTATAAAAAGGATGCGCGATAAGATGCAGGCTTGGAAACTCATTTAGAAGTTTTCCGAGCCGGGCGCGGTCAACGAAAGTGGCCAAGGATGGACCGAGGACGCAAGGATACAAGGGTACCCTTGGGAAGGTTGCCCATCCTTATTTTTGTCTTGTTTTTTATGTATTTGTTTTAGGTTGCCCATCCTTACTATGCGGGTTGACTGCAGCCCCACCGTGCAACCTGCCCGCCGAGAGCACTGCCCGTGCCGGCCAAGAGACGGCCGTCGTGGCACAAGCAACGGCCCCACCAGACCCCCGAGCGCGGCAGCGGTGGCAGAGGAGCAGCACGAAGCCCCGAGCGCCTGCTCCGAAGAGGGAAGCTCCCGGCCCGCATCGCACACATTCTGCAGACCGCGGCCTCCAGGCCCGCAGCGTGCCGGCGCGCTCCCTGGGCATCCCGCCTCGCACCTTCGACGGATGACGGCCGCACACCGCGGCTGGCAAGCCCCAACTGTGCCGGGGTGCATCCCGGGTGTCCCGCCTCGCGTTCCTGCGCCGCGCGCAGTGGAGCGGAGCGCCGGCAAGCATCCCAGAGGACGGCCCGAGAATGGCTAAACCTACCAAGCCACCCCAACCCAACCCGAAGACCCGAATTTCGGGTTGGGGGGCACGGGCTTCAGATGTTTTTTTTTGTTTTTTCAATCTTCCCCGACCCCCCCCCGACTGGGAATGGAGGGCAAATTGGGGCCTTCGGGTTGGGTTGGGGTGCTTTGTTAGGTGGGTGGTGGTAGAAAGAGCACGGCGGTGGCGCCGAAACGCTGGAAGCGCGATGGCTCCACGATGCCCAGAAGCACGGTGGGGAGCTTTGCTCCCAGATGGCGTCGAAGCGGAGCAGAATGATTCGTATTCGACCCTTCGGCCCCCCCTCCTGCTCGACCATGTGGCCCGTGCTCGCCGACGTTTCCACGAACAGGAGGTTGTGCGCACCTGCGGGGGCGGGGGCATGCGGGCGCGGCGGGTCGTCGAGGGAGAAGGGGGGGGCCGAGGAAGGGCACGGCCAGCCTCGAACGGATCCCCACCCCAAGTTCACAAGCCAAACAGCGATGACAATCTGAGGGGTGTGCCCTCGTGCTCTCGGGGGACCCATAATATCGGCAACGAGATAGGACGATGCCCAGCACAGGGACAGGGATATGTTCCAGGATGGGGAAGGAGGGCATTTGTTTGACAACAGTGGAGAAGGACGTTAAGGTGGGACGGGCCCATGGGGGGCATCGAGCCTGAATCGGCGATGCGTCGCCGATGGATCGGCGATACGCTCCCGATAACGGAACCGCACGCTCCTGGGCGGGGTATGCTGTCAGGCCCCTCTTGGCGACCAGTGGGCGAGTGGGGGTCGACGCGTCCTTTTCCTGAGCCTTTCCCCCCTAACGTTTGGTTTGCGGACCATACCCCGGGAACGCCGTCGGCCAGGCGCAGCTTCTGGAGAAGCATCCCGAGGCTGGGAACACCTCGTGCCTCGAAACTTCGTCCCCCCCCCGAGCCTATCCCCCACGAGTTAATGTCGACCCTGAATAAGCCCCAAGATCGCAAGATTCGGGGGCGTCCAAAAGGGGGTTCGAACAAATAGTGCGGGGGGTTATGGGGCGGCGGTTTGGGGGGCGCGGAAAAGGAGGGGGATGACGAGGAGGGAAGAGGCGAAGGAGAAGGGGTCGGCGAGGGGAGGCGAAGCGAAGGAGGACAAACGACGAGGGGAGTCCTGAGGCAGAGAAGGAGAGGGAATAAGGGACAAGAGGAAGAGGAGGAGAAGGGACGGATCCCCTCCCCCCCTCGTGGACGGCAACGAACCACGTTCATCCTACGGCGCCTTTGGGGGGATCACAAACTGCTCCGACGGTAGGGCCCCGCGCGACAATCGATTTAGGTTGCCTCTCGCCTTTTTCTTCTTCGTCCAGCGGAGGATTCTTCCCGCCCTCTCCTTCCGTCCTCCTCCGTCCGTCCTCCTCCTCCTCCTCTTCCTCCTCCTCCTCATCCTCCCTCCTCCTCCTCCTCCTCCTCGTCTTCTTCTTCTTATTATTATATTAATCCTCTTCTTCTTATTATTATTAATATTATTATTATCATTATTATTAGTATTCTTCTTCGTCTTCGTTTTCGTCTCCGTCTTCGTCGTCTTTTTTTCTTCCTCCTCCTCCTCCCCCTCCCCCTCCCCCTCCCCCCCTCCTCCTCCTCCTCCTCCTCGTCGTCCTCCTCCTCCTCCTCCTCCTCCTCCTCCTCCTCCTCCTCCTCCTCCTCGTCCTATTCGCCGCATAGCCCGTTCTCCTCCTGCACCTCTTTTTTCCTCCTGGCACGGGCGCGCGCGTGCATTTTCCTCGGCGCCCCCGCCGCCGCGCCTGGCAGGGGCACATTCTCCGGCGGCGAAATCGCGCAGCCGTCGGGGACAGCCCCGCGGACCAGGCCGCCGGGGCAACCCCGCGAGCCGCTGGCGCGCGAGACCAAGCCGTCGGGACAACCCCGCGGGCTGCGCGCGGGGCGGCGCCGCCGCGCTCAGGCGGGGGGCGGCATGAAGCCCAGCTCCGCCGCGAGCTGCTCCGCCTCTGCCCTGGAACTCCCCGCTTCCGCAAGGATGCCGGCGGCCTCCGTTCCAGGAGCTCTCGCGGCGGGGCCCCCGAAGGTCGATGCCCTGGACGCGGCAGTCATGACCAAAGCCCCGCCTCAGGAAAGGGGTGACGACGCGAGATGACACCCCCCAATCGACGGCGGCACCCTCCGTGAAATGCCCTGGGACACACAAACAAATAGCCACAAATCTTGGGACTTCTCATACTCTCATATGTTGTCCAGGAATCCGTCTTCCACCCCACTTCCCATATGTTTCATTCTTTCCTGGGAATCGACGATTCATTGTGTCTGTGCTTTTTCCTCTCATGACTCCAGGCTGACGCTCGAGCGTGGGCTGCCCCCCGAACTCCCCCTCGCCGTCGCGGCGCCCCTCCAGGAAGGCTGCCTCACCCAAACGCCTCCTCGATGGGACCCGAGTCACGCGCCGCATCGGCGATGCAGCGGCGACGTCGGCGGTGCATCGGCAAGGCCTGCGCAGAGAACATCGGGCTGCACACCGAGGCGGATCGCCAGTGCACCGGCGGTGCGGCGCGATCCTCCGACCCCGTCTGCTCGGCCCCCCCTCTGGGAGGCCCGGGCGCGCTGATTCCCGATGGGGGGGCCAAGGGCACGCACGCGCAGGAGAGCGCGCACGAGCGCGCGGCGAGGCGACCGCTGCGGGGGCGGCCGCGGCACGCGCGAAGCTGGCCCCCTCCTCGTAGGCCACCCGCCGCTGCTGCTCGAGATCGCACCTGGCCCGCGCCACCGCCGGCGCGCCGCAGAGGGGGCGGGCCACGGGGAGGGGCGAAGGCTGCGGCCAGGCGGTGGCTGGAGAAGGAGGGCGAGCTCGTCGTTCCAGGCCCACATAAAACTGCCAGGAGGAGGAGGAGGAGGAGGACGAGGAGGATGAGGAGGAGGCGGCGGAGTCAAGACTTCGGCCGCGAAGGCCTTCATGGACGAGCTCTGAGAGCGCTGCTGCGGGGGCAGAGGGTAGGAACAAGGGAAGGCGACGCCATCACCACCAGCGCGAGGCGACCCCCCCTCTCGCTCGAGACAACCTATCCCCAGCTCGGGGAGGCGTCGTGGATCCCGTCGCTGCAGGTGGCCCCCCCGGTGGTGAAGGTGGTGGTGAAGGTGGTGGTGAAGGTGGTGGTGAAAGTGGTGGTGGTGAAGGTGGTGGTGGTGGTGGTGGTGGTGGTGGTGGTGGTGGTGGTGGTGGTGAAGGTGAAGTTGAAGGTGAAGGTGAAGATGGTGGTGGTGGTGAAGGTGGTGCCGGTGATGTCGCCTCTCCTTCCTTCGACCAGGGGGTTGGCGCAACGGCTATGCGCCGAAAGCAATATATCCAAATCAAACACAGCAACGCCACGAACTGCAAAGAACTGTCGTTACGAGCGAGCAACTTCGGGTGGAAGACACATGCATTCAAACGTGTTTCCGTGAGACAAACGACATGAGGAAGAAGCGGAAAAAGAGCCAGACGAGCGGACAATTCAGAGTGATTGGCATCAAACGAACGAATAGCCCAGAGCATGCGGACCAGGGAGGTCCAGGGGGCGTGCTGGCAGAATGAGGGGCAAGGATCGGCCTGCAATGGGCGACGCATCGCCTACAGATCGGCGATGGGCCCCCGAGAGCGAAACGGCACGGTCCTGGCGGGGTGGGGCCATGGGGCCGCCGTCGGCGATCCACGGGCCAGGGGGCGTGCAGGAGGAAGAAAAGGAGGAAGCGGGGGCCATGATACCTGGGAGGCTTCATCAAAGGCCTCCTGAATGCGGCCAGAATGGTCAGGGTCGGAGGATCGCGCCGCACCGCCCATGCACCAGCGATGCAACGGCGCGGCCAGCGTGGAGACAATCGAGCTCCACATCGAGCCGCACCTGGAGGTGCATCGGCGGTGCGGCGCGATGGCCCGACCCCATTTGGGAGGCCTGGATGCGTGGCCCCAGCCATGACACCCACCCCACCACTGGCCATCACCACCCCATGGTGGGCCTAAAGGCCCCCTGCGTCTCGTCCCACGCCCCACTCCAGCAGCGCCCGCCTGCATCGATGATGGGACTGTTTTCCACCACCACCACCATAAGTTGGAGGGGGGAAGGAGGAGGACGAGGAGGAGGAAGAGGAGGATGAGGAGGAGGACCCCCTCCTCCTCCAACTTATGGTGGTGGTGGTGGAAAACAGGCCCATCAATCGAACCTCGCGAGGTCGTAGCGGGCCAGAGACGCATCGGGTCGCCGCGCGGGCCTCTGGCGGGCCCTGGCCGATGCCGCCGACTCGCAGCGAATCGAATCGAGCCGGAATCGTGGGCGGCCCCAACTGGCGAATCGGCTCGCATCGACTTGGACGGCCGCCCCTGTCCAACGACCGGGGCCCTTTCTCGCCTCCTCCCTTCTCTGGCGAGGCTTGCGTCAAGTCGGGCGTGTCCCCCATACAGGGAGATGTTCGACGAAGAATAAAAAAATACCCCAAAAATACACCAAAAAGGTCAAGAAATACTGAACAAGTAGTCCCCAGACTGTTTTTGGACTATTTTTTGTGATCTTTGGGATCTTTGTCCCCACATCCAAAGTGGGGTTTTTGTCTTCTTTGGACACCCCGCGCAGGAACAGGAACCCACCATCATCATCATCAGCATCATCATCATCATCATCATCATCATCATCATCATCATCATCACTCATTCCTCACTCACTCACTCACTCATCATCCCTCACACACTCACTCACTAGCTCACTCACTCACTAGCTCACTCACTCACTCACTCAATCACTCACTGACTCATCAGCACTCACATATGATGATGATGATGATGATGAGTGTGCGCGTGAGAGAGTGTGATGATGATGATGATGATCATCATCATCATCATCATCATCATCATCATCATCATCATCAACAACATCAGCATCAGCATCAGCATCAGCATCAGCATCAGCATCAGCATCAGCATCAGCATCAGCATCATCATCATCATCATCATCATCATCACCAGTCAGTCAGTCAGTCAGTCACTCACTCACTCACTCACTCACTCACTCACTCACTCGCCCTGGGCCTCGTCTGTGAGTGAATTGTGAGGAAGTCTCAGGCGGGAGCCCCCTCCCTATGGGGCCCGCGGATCATGTTACTAATCCGAGCGGGTCATCCAATTCCTGTAACTGTCGCCACTTTTGGGCTCTCGCGCTGCCAGAACGCCATTCCCAGGCCACATTTGTGAGTGAATTGCGAGGAAGTCTCAAGCGGGAGCCCCCTCCCTATGGGGCCCGCGGATCATGTTACTAATCCGAGCGGGTCATCCAATTCCCGTAACCGTCGCCACTTTTGGGCTCTCGCGCTGCCAGAACGCCATTCCCAGGCCACACTTTGAATGCCCGGCTCCCAAAACACCATTCCCGGGACACATTTTGAATGCCCGGAGCCAACCGTAGGCCACTTCGTGTTCTTCGTGTTCCCAGAACACCACTCCCGGGCCACTTTCTGTATGTCCGGAGCCAAAACAGGAGGGCGAGGCCAGGGGCAACGTAGGGAGCGGGGGGAGGGCCCGCGCCAGGGCGAGAAGAAATAGACGCAGAAGAGACAGCCAAGACGCCTCACCAACCACGAGGACGACGGTGAGGGCTTTCTCCAGATTCGCCCAGAGGATTCTCATGCGGGGTCCTTCCGTCGGAGTAATTTATTTTTCGTCGAAAATCCTCCTGTAGGGGGACAGGCCCGACACAAGGCTTGCGGCACAGCCCTGCCTCACTTAGAGGCCTCCTAGATGGGGTCCGAGCAGATGGGGTCGGAGGATCGCGCCGCATCGCCGATACATCGGCGATGCATCGCCGATGCATCGGCGAGGCATCGCCCATGCGCTGGCGGCGTCGGCGATGCATCGGCGACGTCGGCGTGGAGAAAATCGGGCCCTACGTCGAGCCGAATCGCCGATGCATCGGCGATGCGGCACGATCCTCCGACCCCATCTGCTCCGACCCCATCTAGGAGGCCTAGATCACTGCAGCTTCTGATGGCCCGGGCGCTGCCGCGCCTTGGCTCCAGGCGGCCACGCCGGCACTCGGAGGCGTACGCGGGTGGCCGCACGGGGGCGCTATTCGTACTCGGTGCGAGAGCGCGCGGAGGCGCGCGCGCGCGCAGGGTCTGCGCGACGAGACTCTCGAAATTCCTCCATCTCCTCCATTTCCTCCCTTGCCCCTTCCCCTCCCTCAGGGGAGCAGCAAGTAACCTCCCAGAGCTCCGCGCGGATCTTCGAAAATGTGTGGGTGTGAGTGTGCCTCTGTGCTGACTGTTCAGCCTGCTAAAAAGACGCCCAGAACACATCGAATCCCCAATCCTCCCGCCAACGAATGCTTGCACCGGGGTGTCTTCCTTATGCTAACAGGGAGCTGTGGAAGTGGCTGAGCGGCGTGGTGGCGGGGGGCGGATCCCTAGGAGGAGGCTGATCCTTAGAAGGCGCTGGCCGCCCTTCTACCCGCCATCGCTCGGACGTCCGCTCCCCGTGCATGTTTCGGTGTCGCACGTGTTCTTGCAAGATGATCCAGGACGCTCCTCGATGGCCCTCGACCCCCCGGAAAGTGCGCACGTCCGAGCGACGCCAAGCTCTGAGGAGCCAAGGGCGCGCCGCGCACCCCAGCAGCGTCTCAGCAGCGAGCAACAGGGCCTCAGAAGCACGAGACGGGACAGCTCCCGAGAAGCAAGCCGGCCGCTTCGTAGCAGAGGCGCGCCAAGCACAGCCTCAGAGAAGTAACCACCAGCTTCTTGAAAAGGGGGCCGGCGCCTGCTACTTGGACGCCCGAGATGGGTACGCACGAAGACAGGTACGATGGCCGACAGCAAATGTTGTCCAAATTCGACCGCGGCCGCTGTTGGGCAGGCGGCCTGCTGGCTCAAGTGGGCCACGCCCGCCTCGACACCGACAGCGAGTCCTGGTCAAAATGCACAGGAGCTGCCGTCGGTCTTCGTACCAATTCTTTCCGTAATTAACCATGTCGATCGTACCGATTGTAAACGTTTTCTTATTCGGTCGGCGTTTCGAAATTTGGCGAAAGGGGGGGGAGGGGGAGGGATCAGGCTCTGGACCTCTGCTCAGTGCGACTGTTTGCTAGAGTGCGTCCTTTGGGGGAGACTCCACCTGTTTGAAACAGGCGCCAAAAACAGCCAAGATCTACTCCATGGGACGGGGAGGGGGCGGTAAAGGGGATGCGAGGGCCCGCGCCGATCGGCGCTTTTCATCCTGAGTCGTTTTTTGACAGCCCCGAGGCCCGGTAAGGGCACCCAGAAACAGAAAATAGCGAAAAACCTCCCGTCGTGATTTTGTCACAACTCGAGGGGGTCTGGGCCCCCCTCCTGCCCCACCCGGCTGTGCTTGTGGCCGATGATGAGCTGGGTCCGCCGGGGTCGCGCCTGGTGCCGGGCCGGTGGCCGTATCCGTGGGCGCGCCCCCTGACGGTCCTGGCGCGGGTTCCACCCACAGGGCTCGCGCCGCACAGCCTGCAACGCATGGCCTGCACAGCACCATCGTGGGCTGCACGACGTGTGTGTATATATAGTGCACCACCACGCGCCAGAAATTGACCCACCTAATTAGCCTAGTTTAGAAGAAAAGAAAACCACATAAACAAACTTGTGGCGCTCCGCGCGGATTTCTTGGATTCGCGCTGGGCCCCCCTCCCTGGCGCGCGGAGCGCGCCAGGGGCGGCGCCGGAGACGCCGCCAGGGGGCCCCAGGAGCCGATCCAAGAAATCCGAGCGGAGCGCCAGAAGTTCCCCCATCAGAGCTTGACTCTGTAGGGGTCCCAGCGGATTCATATGGTCAGGTGAGGTTTTTCGTCGACTTTCGCTGCACGCCCGGGTAGCCCGGGTGCCCGGGGGTGCCCGGGGCCCCGGTGCCAGGGGGTGCCCGGGGCCCGGGTGCCCGGGTGGTGCCCGGGGGTGCCCGGGTGCCCGGGCGTGCCTGGGCGTGCCGGAGGTGGCCGGGGGTGCCCTATAGCCCTATAGCCCTATACAGCCTATATAGCCCAATAGCCCAATAGCCCTGTGGCCCTACAACGCTATAGCCCTATAGCTCAATAGCCCTGTAGCCCCCTAGCCCTATAGCCCTGATTGGGTTTTTCTCTGGTATCATTATTTATGTTTATGTGTGTGTGGGTTCTTCGAACATGTGCTTACACCACCACGTGGCTTGGACCACACATTTTGAACGGCGTAGACTGCATGTATCATATTGCACCACGACCACATATCGTGCGCCACGTGGGTTGCACCACGTAGCACCGCATATCACATGTCAGGAATGCGATCAAGTATTGCTTGGGGAACCGCCAGACAAACATGTCATCCCCTCTCGCTCCTAACCTGTTCTCACCTCCTCCTCCTCCTCCTCCTCCTCCTCCTCCTCCTCCTCCACTTACTTCTTCCATCTCTGGGTTGGACCCTCATGCCAGCGAAACAACATCCACCACGCGCCACCTCAAATCTTGTGCCGACTGAGCCTCCTGTGCTGGCTCCAGGCCACCGGCGTAACGCTTTCTTATGACGTGGACCCTTGCACCTTGCAGGTCTCGTCCCACTCCCTGGGGCTGGCTTTTCAGCCCGACTCGTTTTTGGGGGGTCCCAAGGCCGGGCTCTGAAAACCGCCCTGCGCCGTCCGTCGTGACTCTTGCTTCGCGGCGCGAGAGGGTCTGGGGCGCTGGCAGCGCAGATGGACTGCAGACAGCGATCCTCGAGACCCGCCCGCTGCCCCGAAGGGGGAAAACAACGACATAAACATAAACACTGGGAGTTCCGCGCAGATTTCTCGGATCGGCGAGGCACCCCCCTCCCTGGCGTGCGGAGCACGCCAGTGGAGGCGCCGGAGGCGCCGCCAGGGGGCTCCAGCGCAGATTCGAGAAATCTGCGCGGACCCCCGAATGTTTACCCACCGGTCGGAAGAAGTAGGTAGAAACATGAAGTAGGAAGGCGTTGAAAGTAGATTGGGTGTCCGCCCGCCCCCTGAGGAGGACGGGAAAGGTGAAGCCACTCCATGTTTGAAGTGGGAAGGTGCCTAAAGCAGATTGGAACCTGGGTATCCACAAATTCCTATTTTCAACGACCGATGGGCATTTTTACGCCATTATTTGTCACCCGTGTTCCCCCCCTAGCGGTCGAACTTGTTGCCGATCAGCAGGAACAGCGTCTGCGGGCTGGCGTTCTGCCGGGCCTGCCGGGCGGGCCGCTGGGTGGAAATCTGAGGACGCACGGACGGGGCTGATAATCAGACGTGGCCGGAGTGGGAAAGCTTCGGGCTGCGCACCAAACACACACCCGAAGCGCTCCCGTTCTCGCTGGCCTCGACAGGCCCCCCGAGAAGTCCCAGCTGGCCTCCACAAGCCGCCCCGGGTGGTTCAGGGCAGTCCCAACACCCTGGGCCCGTCGGGGCCAACTGGGACTACTCGCGGAGCCTGCTGAGGTCACCTGAGGAGGAGGAGAAGGAGGAGGACAGGGAGGAGGAGGAAGAGGAGGAGGAGGAGGAGGAGGGCCTATTGAGGCCAGCTGGGACTATCTGGGGGCTGTCTGTGCTCAACACGAACCTTTGCCAGCATCGTCGATGCATCGGCAATGCGGCGCGATCCTCCGACCCCATCTGCTCGGATCCTGCTGGGAGCAGCTTGGGCTGGGAGCAGCTTGGAGGGAAGGAGTGAGAGCACAAGCAGAGCTGCATAGTGGCCCTTTGCCATGAAAAGAACTGGTCTGGGAGAAATCGGGTCCTGGTCGGGGGGGGGGTCCACGATACCAGCTCTGAATTCTGAGCCGTGTTTTTGTTACGGTAGACCTCCAGAAACCGTTCCCCTCAGGACCCCCGCTTCTTCATGGCGTGTCCTGCCGCAAGAGGACGCCGACTTACTGGATCCCCGCGGGGGCTGCAAGGTGGACAGGGGAGGGTATAAGTGGATGCCGAGGTGGGTTGTATCTGTTCGAGCCTGGCCTGTAAGTGGGTTGCAAGTGCCCTGCGTATTTTAGGGGCGTTGGACAACTCCTCTAAGTGAGCAAAGGTCACTCAGCTCAGGATTTAACCCCCCCAAGCCACTTAGGGCATGTCAAGCCCACCTATAATCTAGGCCTCCCAAATGGGGTCCAAAAAGATGGGGTCGGAAGATCGCTCAACCTATCCGATGCACCGGCGATCGGTGCGATGCGGAGCCTGATGTTCTGCATGCCGGCATCGCCGATGCATCGCCGACGTCGCCGACGTATCGCCCATGCATCGCCGACGTATCACCGATGCATCGGCGACGCGGCGCGATCCTTCGACCCCATCTGCTCGGACCCCAGTTGGGAGGTCTCTAATCAAGCTAGGTTGGACTGGATATAACCTACCCTAGCATCCACGTTATGCTCAGTATCCCCTTGGCAACTCCCGCGGTCATCGCAATGTACTTCGACACCAGCCACGGCTAAGCCCATTGTCTGCCCAAAAACGACCCTCCGATCCCCGCCCGTGCTCGAGGTCAAACATTGTGTTCGTTTGCGTGTTGTTTTTGTTGTCCTTCGCTCTGTCTTCGTTCTGCCTCTGCCACGAAAGGAAACTAAAACGAAAACTGCCCACGGAATCGCCAACATACCGTGTTGCTTGACCCCCTCCCCCTCCTCCTCCTCCTCCTCCTCCTCCTCCTCCTCCTCC